TGTTCAGTTTCTTACGTTACGTTGGGATTTAGGATAAGCTTAAAGGAATCCTGGTTGCAAAACAATAGCAAAGTCAAAACAAATCTCGCCCCCAACAAAAAAGTCCACACATTTGAAGTGGGATTAGTGACTGCTGGTCCCTTAGCGATGAGTTGTTTAGAAAAAGACAGCAAATTCTAGTCTCAGAGCCGGTACCACCACATTTCCCAGTTCACAGGTATTCTTAAGCCTAAGAAATAACTGGGAAGGCAGAGTTTGGACAATGTTTTTCTATCAGAAGGAGAAGGGCCAAGAGCATTGGAGTTGGCCTGGTTGAGTGGGTCATGCAAGCTCCTGTGTTGAGATAAGCCAGCGAGCTCTGTGAAGGATTGACACTCAGGAAAAAGGATGAGTCATCCATTGGCCTCCTTAAGACCTGGAACCTGCTAAGGCAGGAAGGTAAACAGACTGTTTTATTGACTTGGACTAAGATGTACCCTTAGATACACTTCTCTGGAAATGAAAAAAAAAAAACCACTCTAAACCAAAACAAAACTCTGCCAAAATAATACTCACATGTATTCTTTTGCTTTGTTTTTGTTTTTTCGAGACAGGGTTTCTCTGTCTTGTTTTTGGAGGCTGTTCTGGAACTCACTTTGTAGACCAGGCTGGCCTCGAACTCACAAAGATCCACCTGCCTCTGCCTTCCAAGTGCTGGGATTAAAGGCGTGGGCCACCACTGCCTGGCTTCTCAAATGCATTCTTAACCAAATCAACCTATGAAAATTTCAATTGAGAGCAAGCATATAACCCAAGACTTGTAAGATGAATGACTCATTAAAAATATACAAAATGTATTTCAAAATTTGATTTTTTAAAAATAAGAGACAACAATAAAACATAATGAAACTTTCCCATCTGTGACACAGACTTTGATAATGCCTTCTTATGATGAACGTTGCAAACACCTCCTTAGAGATCTCAAAGAGTTTTCTGATTTATTACCCCGGACTGTGAGTGGTCCTACAAAAAAAATGGAGGAAGGAATTGTCGGTGTGTCTCTAACCCATGGAGCCTCTGTGCTGAACAAAGGGTGACAACCAAAAGCCTGGAAAGTGGCTTGATGCTGTTGACGCAGAATCTCCAGATCAGAGAAATCCCAGCTTCCCCGAGGAAGCGGAGTAGGGATTGCAACCAATAAAACATTAGAAGTTGACCTCTAAGCCATGCATTTAAATCCATTTCTGGCTTATTCTTTCCAAATAGCACTTGAGTTTGATGATTGTGATTTAGCCATCTGCAGCCCGTATTTATAATTGGGAACACTGTCATTGTCTCGGGAGATGGTCCTAGTTATCATTATTAGGGGGTGGATGTGTGATTTCCTGGGTGGCTAGGTGGCTCCACTCACTCTGCTCCTGGTGACAAGGCTGTCTTGATAAGACTACCTGCTTGCAGCCCCAAGGGCTTTTGTTGGCATTTTGAATTTTCTCTTGCAAGCAAATAATATAAGAAGTAGAACCTCTTTACTGGTTGCTTTTCAGAGAGGATCCTGTTTAATTTGCAAAAACCATTTGTGTATCCTAACTATAAATGCGGCCTTCCTTGCCTGCTTTACAAAAGCGCTTCTCAGGAAATAAAGCCTTTGTGACCCAGCAGGAAAGCTTCCAGCTCAGACCACCAATCTCCCGAGTTATCCTGACTCCCCCTGAGATTTGGGGGTTTGCTGAGAAGAAGAGGGAGGGAGGGTTTGGCTCCATCTGGCACCTAGATGAGACGGTAAATAGACTTGTCTGTTTTTCAAAGATAATTGTGGGTGAGTAGGTAGCACAATCCTACGCAGATTACAAATGTGACTTTACAGTCTCTGCATTAACACACGTAATCTTGAGCCCCGAAGCAATGTCTGGTAGACTACTAGTTCAACGTGCCGGGGCAATTGTTTAATGAATATGAGAGAAACGGTGGTTTGAATTAGATCATAGGTTTTAGATTCTTAGAACTGGATAGGACTCCGAGGATTTTCTAGGCAAAACTTTTGCTGTATAGTTGAGGAAATGGAAGCCTGTAGAAGCATAGCTCTGCCATGGTTATCCTAACTTCTAGTGCCACGGGGTTGGACTCCTATTGCTGCCTTCACTATGCCTGTGCCCTAGAATGTGTGTCATGAGCAACACATGACTCCTCACAGGAGTCCTGCTGTTCAAAGATGACATAGCACCTTGCTCCATTGGTTCTGGCCACACCTCTGCTCAGCTTTGTCCTGTGTGATCCAGGTCTCCCCAGATCCATTCAATGGAAACTTCGGGAGATGTTTCCCAGCTTTCCACCCAAACCCCTTCTTCCCCCGAGTCTCATCTAGGAATTTTGTTTTGCTGAATGGTTGACAATGTTCATAAGACTCTGATCAAGTTGGACACTTCACAGTTTTGTTTCTTCTTCATAAGACAAGGAAGGCACAATTCACAAGCATCCGGGCCTTTCCCCATTGACCTTTCAGAATACAATTTTGATATGTTGGTGAGTTAGTCTAAAATTATTTTCCCTTTTTCTGTTTATGAAAAATGATAAATACAGAAAAATCAAACACAGAAAAACCAAGCAATGCTGAAATTATGACGTCTCCTCCACAACAGTCTTCCAGAGGTGGCTGCCCTGCCCTTGCGACTGTCTTCCATCTCTCTCTGTGAAGCTGTGTGTGTATTTGCATTCCATGTGTAGCGTTCCTTAAAGAAAAATGACACAGAGCTTTGTGCAATCTGCTTTGCTCACTCACTGAGAGATCAGTTCAGAGAAAACCCTACCAGATACTCTCTGCCATCCCAGGACCACTTAAAAATCCATGAGACAATGGAGTGGGCAGTGCCACTTTGTTGGTTAACATTTTACTGAGGTCTGACTGGCTGGCCCTTTCCCCTCTAATTTCTACTTTTCTCTCTTTTCCCCAAAGAATACCTTTTCCCAACGCAACTGCAAAAAAGGTTTGCCAGCCAGGGAAAGTCTTTACATGCAGCCTTGCATGGCCTGGAACTTGCTGTAAAGGCTAGCCTGACTTTGAACTCACACAGAGATCTGCCTGCCTAGTGCTGGGATTAAAGGGGTGTGTGCCACACCCAACTGTTGATGTACAAATACAGTCTATATATGGTGACCACGCCTTGGCTCTATCTCAGAGCACTCTCTGGAGAGGAAGAGATGGAAGATATTCCAATACAGATTTTTGTTGTTGCTGTCTTATGGAGTGGTAACACCCAACTTATGTTTTCAGTTTTAAAGGCCCCGCTTGCAGGCAACAAGTGCTGTCTACAACTCTAGTTCCTGGTGCAAGCTTCAAAGCTCTGGTTTGATTGTCCTTTCATTCTCCAAGACTCCCAGGAAAGGCAAAGGGTTTGTATATTTTAGCTCATTGGGTCTTACTGACCTGTAATTATGAATGACCGTCTTTTTATTTAGATTGCTCTCCTTGGGAGTCCAGTGTCTTGTCCTTGTCAGATAGACAAGTTATATTAGCCACACTCTGTCCTTCACCTGCCTCCCTCCATTGTCCTCATTCTCTGTGTCTTGGGAATGTGACAGCGGTGATACTAGGGACTACTTAGAATTCTGTATTAGCAAGGCCGGCAGAGTGATTCTTCTTAGAATTGAAATTTTCTGGTTGTTGCTGCTACTCATTCATGTGAGCACCTGTTAGCAGAAAAAAAGCTAATTGAAAGTGTTTGGGTATTGGAAGTCTTGGGTAACAGTGAGCAGATGGAAATCTTCAGTGTTTGTAGGACAAGGACATGTCCACGCAAATGTCCTCCTCCATGAAGGGAGGGTGTCAGTGTTCTTCAGGCCTCCATCTCCAGTACAATGTGAATGGGCCTTTGCAGGGCAGGGGAAGTCTCTGGCTGGAGCTGCCAGCCTGAAAAGAACTTTTTTGTTTTTCAGGCTGTTTGATGTTTATTGTAATGGAGCCAAGCTCTCTGGCGAGTCTGTGCTTTTCAGTTTCTCTTCAGCTTCCCCACCCCACAACACAGGAACCTGCCCCTATTCATCTGTGCCCATTGCATGGGTGGATCTGGTAGGGTGGTCCTCATCGAGGGAGCCACGGGCTGAGTGCACCCACACAGTTCCCACCGTCTCCACAAGGAGCAGCTTTAGCTCTGACTCAGGGCTGCTCACCATGACCTGAAGATGAAAGGGCCATCACTAATCTTATCTGCTGATCAAACCCTGACAGTGCTGATGACGCCATAGGCTCTCTGGCACCTCCGCTCCCTGTCCTGAGGGAGCTCTGCCAGGGCCTGCTGTGTGATGAAGACATTCTGACCTCTGCCCGCCAAGTGTCTGCCAGAGCCTGGGGCTCTCTTGCCAGGGAACTGGGAAATCGGTGGGAAATTGAAAGAATATTGCTAAGTTCGAATTTCACTTGGCTGAGTCGGTTTCCCTTGTGGCCTTTGTTGTCTGAGGATGATGAAGGTGTGTTTTCCTGTCCTCATTCACTGATTATTTCATGGTCCTCTTCACAGGGGGGAGAATCGCTGCATATGGAGCCGGAAGGGGAGCTGATAGCAAGATCTCTTCTGCTGCGGTGGACTCATCATGCCCTTGTATCCCTGTGTACTTGTGTACTCAGAAGGAGACAGAACTTAGAACTCTAAATTCTGAAGAAAATCCATGACTAACTTACCTTACCGATGCCTGAAAGATTGATGTTTTGTAATTAAAGAGACTTAACTGTAAAGAAAATTGAAACTTTTTCAACTTTCTTTTTGTAGTGCTAGGAGTCAAACTCATGACCTCATCCATGCCTGCCAAATGCTCTACTTGAGATGAAGTTCTGACGGCTCCAAGTTTAAAGCACTATTCTGTTCTCTCTGACTCTTGATTTAATAGATGGGGTAGAAAGAAGTCCTCCAGCATCTAGGAGAAAGTAGCTTCTGTTGGGGAAGTCCTGTGTATTTGTCAATAAAGCACTGTCTGGCCAATAGGAATCTAGATAGGTGGGGCTAGGAATCCAGGAGGATTCTGGGAAGGAGAAACACAGGAGAGTTCGAGATGTAACGCCATGGGGTAGGAGCCCGGAACTATTCTCCAGTAAGAGACATACTTAGATTAACAATTATGGGGTAATTACTTAAGTCAGAGCTAGCCAGTAAGAAGCAAGCAAGGCCAACAGCTTCATAATTAATACAGCGTCTTGTGTGTTTATTTGGGGACTACAATGCGGCAGAGCCCAGGCAGCTGGCAGGGGATAAACCAAAGCGGCTAGCAAAGAAAAAGCTTCTCTTAACAAGCTTCCCTTCCAAACATGGACAGGAGGTCCTTCATATTTGAGCTACTATGAGGGCTAGACTTTGGTAACTGTCATCAAACGAGCCCTGTTGTGTTCACTATATGTAATAGTTAGACTCCAGCAGGAAAAAGAAAACACAACTCAAATATAGTATCAGAGGAAATGCTGGCGACAGAGATGCTTGTGAAGAGGGTATGGTGTAAGGAAACCAAGAGAGAACTGTAGAATACCACAGGCCACCGGGAGTTGCTGATACGCTCTAAGTAGGCAGGAGAAGAGAGCTGACTAGTCTGGCAAGAATAAGAGCCTCCAGACAGGTGTGTGCTCACAGGTAGATGCTCAAGGTCAGCCCACAGGGAATCTAGGGATGGGTTTGTCTATATCTGGCCTGTTTGGGGCTTTGTCTATTGAATTCCTTCCTGTTTTTCATCCATGGTGGTGATTCATCCATTGTTCAGTGAAATTTCTGTCACTGACTCCTCTTGACAGCTATGATTGAAAGACAATTATTGGGATACAGGGATAACTTCTTAGGATGATGATTTTTATCATATTTGAGAGCAAACCGAATCTAAATCAGCTTTTCAGTTCCAACCCGAATAAAAGCAGTTAATCAAATGCTATAAGACACCTGAGGCCCAGGAGATGTAGAGGAAGAGGAGGAGACTAAGACACAAAGCAATTTGGAAATTCTAGGTCAGGGGATGAACATTTAAAAAAAATCTAAACACATAGAATCTTAGAGTTCAGTTCAGTGGTATTTACCAAGCAGGTGTGAGGCCCAGGATTCAATCCCCAGGACAGGGGATAATAATTAAGGCCTACTGTTAGTATCTTCCAAGAAACAAGAGAAAACATTGCTACCATGAAGTAAGAATGAATGCTGTTTAAAAAGGAAGAGTCAGTAGACAAAAACTAGATTTTTTTTGCCTTTTTTAAAATTTGAGTTAGAAACAGGCTTGTTTCACAAGTCAATCCCAGCTCCCTTTCCCTTCTCTCTTCCCCCACCCAGGGCTCCCAGGCTCCCACCCAATCTCCACTCTGATCCCTAGGGAGGGTGAGGCCATCCATGGTGGATCTCCAGAGTCTGTCAGGTCATCCAGGGCAGGGCCTAGGCTCTCCCACAAGAGCCAGGCTGAGAGAGCATCCCTCATTTTGGGATGGGCACTCAGTCTATTTGTACACCAGGGATAAATACTACCCAAGGCCCCATAGATTACCTAGGCTTCCTCAATGACACCCACATTCAGGGGGTCTGGATCAGTCCCATGCTTTCCACACAGTCATCAATCTGGGGTCCAAGAGCTCCCTCTTGTTCAGGTCAATTGTTTCTGTGGGTTAAACCAGCCCAGTCTTAAATCCTTTGCTCATCTGTTCTCCCTTTCTGTCACTGGATTCTGGGAGTTTAGTTCAGTGTTTAGCTATGGGTATCTGCCTCTGTTTCCATTAGTTACTGGATAAAGGCTCTGTTTCCCAGCCTCTCTGGCAGTGGGTTTGTAGGCTGGCACTCCCCTGATTCATGTCTAAAATCTATATATGAGTGATTACGTACCATGTTTCTCTTTTTGTGACTGGGTTACCTCACTCAGGATGGTTTCTTCTAGTGCCATCCACTTGCCTGCAAATTTCAAGACTCAATTGTTTTTTTCCGCTGAATAGTACTCTGTTGTGTAAATGTACCATATTTTCTCTTTTCACTCTTCAGTTGAAGGGCATCTAGGTTGCCTCTAGGTTCTGGCTATTGCAAATAATGCTGCTATGAGCATAGTGGAACAGATGTCCTTGTTGTATGAATGTGCATCTTTTGGGTATATGCCTAAGAGTGGAATTGCTGGGTCTTGTGGTAGACTGATTCCCATTTTCCTGAGGAAACTCCATACTGATTTCCAAGGTGGCTGTATGAGTCAGCACTCCCATCAATAGTGAAAGAGTGTTTCCCTTTCTCCATATCCCTTCCAGCATAAACTGTTATTGGAGTTTTTGATTTTAGCCATTCTGAGAGGAGTGAGATGGTATCTCAGAGTTGTTTTGATTTGCATTTCCCTGATGGCTAAGGATGTTGAACACTTTCTCAAGTGTCTCTCAGCCATTTTAGACTCCTCTACTGAGACTTCTTTATTTAGTTCTGTACCCCACTTTTTAATTGGATCCTTTGGTGTTTTGGAGACTTGCTTCTTGAGTTCTTTGTAGATTTTGGAGACCAGTCCTCTGTCAGATGTGGGGTTAGTGAATATCTTTCCCCAATCTGTGGGGTGCCTTTTTGTCTTGTTGACTGTGCCCTTTGCCTTACAGAAGCTTCTTAGTTTCAGGAGGACCCATTTATTAATTGTTGACCTTAGTGTCTGTGCTACTGGACTTATGTTCAGGAAACAGTCTCCTATACCAATTCGTTCAAGGTACCTCCCACTTTCTCTTCTAACAGGTTCAGTGTGGCTGGATTTATATTGAGGTCTTTGATCCATTTGGATTTAAGTTTTGTGCATGGTGCTAGACATGGATCTATCTGCAGTCTTCTACATGTCAGCCTCCAGCACCATTTGTTGAAGATGCTTTCTTTTTTTCATTGTATAATTTTAGCTTCTTTTTCAAAGATCAGGTGTTCATAAGTGTATGGGTTAATGTCGGGTGTTCAATTTGATTCCATTGGTCTATCTGTCTATTTTTGTGCCAATACCAAGCTGTTTTCAGGACTATAGCTCTGTGATACAGCTTGAAGTCAGGGATGGTGATGCCTCTGGATGTTACCTTGTTGAACAGCGTTGTTTTGGATATTGTGGGTCTCTTGTTTTTCCATATAAAGTTGAGAATTGTTCTTTCAAGGTCTGTGAAGAATTGTGCTGGGATTTTAATGGGAATTGTGTTAAATCTGTATATTGCTTTCGGTAAGATTGCCATTTTTACTATGTTGATCCTAACTATCCAAGAGCATGGGAGAGCTTTCCATTTTCTTGTGTCTTCTTTAATTTCTTTCTTTAAAGACTCAAAGTTCTTGAGATACAGGTCTTTCACTTGTTTGGTTAGCATTTCCCCAAGGTATTTTATGTTGTTTGTGGCTATTGTAAAGGGCAATGTTTCTCTGATTTTTTTTCAGCCCTTTTATCGGCTGTATATAGTAAAGCTACTGATTTTTTTGAGTTCATCTTGTATCCTGCCACATTGCTGAAGGTATTTATCAGCTGTAGGAGTTGCCTGGTAGAGTTTTTTGGGTCACTTTTGTAAACTATCATATCATATGCAAATAGTGAAAGTTTGACCTCTTCCTTTCCAATTTGTAACCCCTTGATCTCATTTTGTTGTCTTATTGCTCTAGCTAGAACTTCAAGGCCAATACTGAAAAGGTTTGGAGAGAGTGGGCAGCTGCCTTGTCTTGTTCCTGATTTTAGAGAATCACATTGAGTTTCTGGTCATTTAGTTTGATGTTGGCTGTTGGTTTGCTGTCTATAGCTTTTATTATGTTAGGGTAAGTTCCTGTTATCACGGATCTTTTCAAGACTTTTATTATGAATGGGTGTTGGATTTTGTCAAAGACTTTTTCAGCATCCAGTGAGATGATCATGTGTTTTTTGTTTCTCAGCTTGTTTATACGGTGGATTACATTGATGGATTTTCATATGTTGAACCATTCCTGCATCCCTGGAATGAAGCCTACTTGATCTTGGTGGATGAGTTCTCTGATGTATTCTTGGATCCGATTTGCCAGTATTTTATTGGGTATTTTTGCATCAATGTTCATGAAGGATAGTGGTCTGAAGTTCTCTTTCTTAGTTTTGTCTTTGTGTGGTTTGAGTATCAAGGCTATTGAAGGCTCATAGAAAGATTTTGGCAAAGACTCTTCTGCTTCTATTGCGTGGAATACTTTGAGAAGAATTGATATAAGCTGTTCTTTGAATTTCTGGTAGAATTCTGCACTAAGGCCATCTGGCCCCGGGCTTTCTTTGGTTGGGAGACTTTTGATGACTGCTTCTATTTCCTTAGGGGTTATAGGTCTATTTAAATTGCTTATCTGTTCTTGATTTAATTTTGGCAAGTGATATCTATCCAGAAAATTGTCTATTTTCTTTAGAGTTTCAAACTTTGTGGAGTACATGTTTTCAAAGTATGACCTGATGATTCTCTGAATTTCCTCAGGGTCCATCATTATGTCCCCTTTTCGGTTCTAATTTTGTTAATTTGCATGTTCACACTCTGCTGTTTTGTAACTTTGGACAAAGGTTTGTCTATCTTGTTGATTTTCTCAAAAAACCAACTCTTCACTACATTGATTCTTTGTATTGTTTTTCCTAGTTTCTACTTTATTGATTTTAGCCCTCAATTTGATTATTTCCTGGTGTCTATTCCTCCTGGGTGAGTTTGCTTCTTTGTGTTCTAGAGCTTTCAGCTGTGATGTTAATTCTCTGGTATAACTGTTTTCCTGTTTCTTCATGTGAGCACTTAGTGCTATGAACTTCTCCCGTAGCACTGCTTTCAAAGTGTCCCATAGGTTTGGGTATGTTGTGTCTTCATTCTCATTGAATTCGAGGAAGTCTTTAATTTCTTTTTTTAATTTCTTCTTTGACTCAGGAATGGTGCAATTGGGCATTATTCAATTTCCATGAGTTTGTAGGGTTTCTTCAATTTGTGTTGTTGTTGAATTCTAATTTTAACGTCTGGTGGTCTGATAAGGTGCATGGAGTTATTCCAATACTTTTGTACCTGTTGAGGTTTGATATGTTGCCAAGTATGTGGTCAATTTTTGAGAAAGTTCAGTGTGGCACTGAGAAGAAGGTATATTATTTTTTATTTGGATGGAATGTTCTATAGA